CCGTCGTCGACGCGACGGCGCCGTCGACGGGCGCGAGGAAGGACCGGCGCACGGCGGCGACGAGCCGCGCGCAGTCCACGGCGCCGCCGCGGTGGGCCTTGGGGTCCGCCGCCGTCGATCCCCGGTCGCAGAACGCGCCGCCGCGGAGCGCGCGGCCGGCGACGCGCACGAGGCGCGTGTCCTCGCGGCCGCCCCAGGACCGCGTCAGCGCGCGCACGGCCGCGGCGATGGGGAGCGTCTTCGCGCCCTTGCCCTCGTCCGTGAGCGCCGCGGCGAAGGCGGACTCGAGGCGCCGGACGTCGCGGCCCCGCCGCCGGAGGCCGTCGCGGATCTGCGTGACGAGCGCGTCGGCGTCGTCGTCGCCCGTCGTGAAGGCCACGACCCAGTCCCGCGCGGAGAGAGGGGGCTCCGCGGCGGACCCGCCGCGCCACGCGCCGCCGGCGCACCGCGCGAAACGTTCCACGTCCTCGGCGCCGACGCGCTCGTCGCCGGCGCCGTCGAAGCTCGCCGCCCAGGCCTTGAGCGCCGACGCCTCGAGGCGCCACCCGTTCTCCCGGTTGTAGGCGACGAGCAGCTCGCAGAGCACGTCGACGTGCGTCGGCACCGTGCGCGACAGGCCCCGCTCCCCGAGGGTCCGCGATAGCCAGACGCCGTAGGCGCTCGTCCCCGCGTCGGCGCCCACGGCTTCGGCGCCGGCGACGATCACGGACCGCAGCTCGCGGCAGGCCGCGGACAGCGTGGCATGGTGGGCTGCGGGCGCCATGTTAAACGCTCGGGGCAGCCTCCGCAACAAAATTCCTTTGTGGATTCTTGCACGTTTAGGTGCTATGTGAAGCATGGCATGAGCCGACATGAGCGCGTTGGAGGACACGGAGCACTTCTTGAATTCCCACTTAATGCTTTCGTGCCTACTAAAAGTTTCCTCCTCGCAGTGGCGGACCGCCCACTGCGCGGGAGTGCTCGACGGCATCACGGCACCTTCATAGTTTTCGCCGTTCTTCCCGGACCATCGGTGGCCCTCCGTCGAAGCCTACCATGCTTTTCCTTCCGTAGTTGTCCTCGGCCGAGGTCGAAGTTACACTTTTAAACGTCCCGCTTTCGTGCGAAGCCTATTCGTACGGGGCAGCTCCTGTCCTCTGATCACGGGCGCCGTCCTCCTCGCTGCTCAAGGGTCTCGTATCGTACTGAGTGACAACTGTCCTAGCGTCTGTGACAGGGCTCCGCACGCTGCGTGCGCTACGCGCGCTGCGCTCGACGCGCGCGAAACGCCGCCGTCCGCGCCGCAATTCAAACGCACCCGACGACACGAACTTCCCTCGGTTGGACGCCTGTGCGCACCGCCGCCGCGCACCCGCGCGCCGCCACGTGGCCTCGCGAAGCGGTAAAGCGCGCGCGCGACATTCAAAACGAGCGACGCCTCCCCGCCGCGCCGACCGCTTGCCGCTCCGCAGGCCCCTCAGCGAGCGCGACCGCACGATGTTTGCGGACGACGACATGCAGGTCGTGAAGCGCAACGGCAAGAAGGAGACCGTGCGCTACGACAAGATCACGAGCCGCATCAAGAAGCTCTGCTACGGTTTCGACGCCAAGTACATCAAGCCGAACCAGATCACGCAGAAGGTGATCCAGGGCGTCTACGACGGCGTGACGACGCACGAGCTCGACGAGCTCGCGGCGCAGACGACGGCCTACATGGCGACGCAGCACCCCGACTTCTCCGTGCTCGCCGCGCGCATCTCCGTGTCGAACCTCCACAAGTCGACGGACAAGACGTTCTCCGACGTCGTCGAGAAGCTCCACAAGCACGTGCACCCCAAGACGAAGAAGCCCGCGGCGCTCATCTCCGACGAGACCTACGCCACGGTGCAGAAGCACAAGGACGCGATCAACGCGGCCATCGTCTACGACCGCGACTTCGAGTACGACTACTTCGGCTTCAAGACGCTCGAGCGGAGCTACCTCATGCGCCTGGACGGCGCGATCGCGGAGCGGCCTCAGCACATGATCATGCGCGTCGCGCTCGGCATCCACGGCGATGACCTGGCGGGCGCGTTCGAGACCTACGAGATGATGTCGCAGAAGATGTTCACGCACGCGACGCCGACGCTCTTCAATGCCGGCACGCCGCGGCCGCAGTTGTCTAGCTGCTTCCTACTCGCCATGAAGGAGGACTCCATCGAGGGCATCTACGACACGCTCAAGCGCTGCGCGGCCATCTCCAAGTACGCGGGCGGCATCGGCCTGTCGGTCCACAATATCCGCGCGACGGACTCCTACATCTGCGGGTCGAATGGCACGTCGAACGGCATCGTGCCCATGCTCCGCGTCTACAACGATACTGCGCGTTACGTGGACCAGGGCGGCCGCAGGCGCAAGGGCTCCTTCGCCATCTACCTCGAGCCCTGGCACGCGGACATCGAGATGTGGCTCGACCTGAAGAAGAACCATGGCAACGAGCTAGAGCGTGCGCGCGACCTTTTCTATGGCCTCTGGATCCCGGACCTGTTCATGAAGCGCGTCGAGGCCAACGGCTTCTGGTCCCTCATGTGCCCCAACGAGTGCCCGGGCCTCGCGGACTGCCACGGCGCCAAGTTCGAGGCGCTCTACGAGCGCTATGAGGCCGAGGGCTGCGCGCGCAAGGCCATCCCCGCGCAGCAGCTCTGGTTCGCCATCCTCGACAGCCAGGTCGAGACGGGCACGCCCTACATGCTCTACAAGGACGCCTGCAACGGCAAGTCGAACCAGAAGCATTTGGGGACGATCAAGTCGTCGAACCTGTGCACGGAGATCGTCGAGTACACGGCGCCCGACGAGATCGCGGTCTGCAACCTGGCGTCCATCAACCTAGGGTCCGAGGTCTCGGGTGCAACCCACAACAGCAAGCGACTCGGCCGGCGGAGGTTCGAGGTCTCGGGCGCAACCCACAACAGCAAGCGACTCGGGCGGCGGAGGTTCGATTACTCGCGCGGGCCCGTCCGCGGCGACACTCGGAGACCTGTGACGGGGGGCGCCTCGGGGTGGGGGGCGCTTATCCGGGGCCCTAGCCTAGGCCCGGTAAGGGTCGCAGAGACCTGTGGCCGGGCGGAGGCGTGTGACGCCTACTTAGTAGGCGCCTCGTGGTGCTCCAAAGTGTCTCGTGCCTGAGTCCGCTCGCCGCTTCCCGGTCGCGAGTAGCTTGAGCAGTGGGCGAGTGAAGCGATGGAGGTCCTCGCGGGGGCGGGATTTGCGGGCGTGAACGGTGTTGTCAAGGCTGTGACGGGGAAGAGCATCCTACAGCACTGCGGCATCGCCGTCAACCGCCTCCGGGCTAATGTGCTGGGCATCGGCGCCGAGTACATGGGCCACGCCCTCGCAGACAAGTTCGCAGACGAGGCGTGGAAGGTCGCGGAAGCTAAGCTCGCCGGGCCGGATCGCGACGAGCGGCGCCTCTTCTCGCGGCGCCTCGAAGCTCTGAGCGACGTGTTACAGAGCGTGGCGTCGTCGCCGGCCGTCGAGGACGAGTCGGTGAAGAAGGCTCTCGACAATTTGCGCTCCTCTCTCGAGCGCGCCTTCAACGCCGCCGGCAGCGCTGATGGACGCCGCTCTTCGGAAGCCGACATCGACAACTACAAGCAGGACCTGCAACTGGCGTTCTTGGTGGCGAACCACGACGACCACGAGATGCTCGCGACGGAGGACAGCTTCAAGTACGATCCCTACGACTCTGACGATCCGTTTCAGGAAGCGTCCCAGCTCGGCGAGGGCTCCTTCGGAGCGACGCACACGATGCGCAACATCGACGACGGCCAGCTGTACGCGGTCAAGCTGATCAAGATCAAGAAGGCGGGCGTCCCCATCGAGAACCTGCAGCAAGAGGCGTCGCGCCTGGCGAAACTGCATCATCCGAACATCGTCCGCTACTACACGTCCTTCAAGAAGAAGCCGTTCTTCGCGATCGTCACGGAGCTCCTGACCGGCGGCTCGCTGCTCGAGCGCATCGACGGCGCCGCCGGCCCGCTTCCGGCTGGCCAGATCAAGCGGTGGACGATCCAGATCGCGTCCGCGCTCGCGCACATGCACGCGCGGCGCATGCAGCACCGCGACCTCAAGCCGGACAACGTCCTCTTCGACGCCCGCGGCGACGCGCGCATCATCGACCTCGGGCTCGCGCAGATCGTCGTCGCCAAGTCCAAGGTCTCGTCCAAGAACGCGGTCGGCGCCGAGCTCTACCGCTCGCCGGAGAAGGCGCTCGGCAGCGCCTACGACGCGAAAGACGACATCTGGGCCCTGGGCTGCATGGTCGCCGGCGCGGCGACCGGCAAGTCGCTCGAGGACCGCAGCGCGAGCGGCGCGGGCCTCTTCGCGCTCAGCCGCGACAAGGTCAAGAGCCTCGTCGACGAAGCCGCGTCGAGCACCTTCGGCGAGCTCGTCGCGGCCACGCTCCAGATCAATCCGATCAAGCGACCGGCGGCCGAGATCATCGAGCTCGCGCTGCGAAGCGGGAAGTCGCTCGCGGCCGCGGCGCGCGACGGCACGATCTTCGAGGAGGAGGACGACGATGCCACGTCTGATGCTTTGGACGATGTTCCGTATGCGGAGGTCGTCGGTGTTGAACCTTCGGGCGACGCGCCGAGCGAGAACGGCCCCGGCAAGGTGCGTGCGTCGGCGACGAGCGCCGGGTCGACGGCCCACGGGACACCGACCGCCGCCGAGGCCGACGCGGCGGCGTCCCGAGGCGACATCGGGCCGCTCGTCACCATCCTGGCGCCGGCGGCGTCCCGAGGCGACTTCGGGCCGCTCGTCGCCATCCTCCGGACCGGCACCGACGGCGCCAAGGAGCAGGCCGCGGTGGCTTTGGAGTACTTGGCTGTGAAAAACGACAACAAGGTCGCCATCGTTAAGGCCGGCGCCCTGGACCCGCTCGTCGCCCTCCTCCGGACCGGCACCGACGGCGCCAAGGAGCACGCCGCGGTGGCTTTGGAGTACTTGGCTGTGAAAAACGACAACAAGGTCGCCATCGTTAAGGCCGGCGCCCTGGACCCGCTCGTCGCCCTCCTCCGGACCGGCACCGACGGCGCCAAGGAGCACGCCGCGGGGGCTTTGACGAATTTGGCTATAAACGACAACAACGAGATCGCCATCGTTAAGGCCGGCGCCGCGGACCCGCTCGTCTCCCTCCTCCGGACGGGCACCGACGGCGCCAAGGAGCAGGCCGCGGGGGCTTTGTGGAACCTGGCTCTAAACGCCGACAACCAGATCGCCATCGCCAAGGCCGGCGCCGTGGACCCGCTCGTCGCCCTCCTGCGGACCGGCACCGGCGCGATGAAGGAGCGCGCCGCGGGGGCTTTGAAGAACCTTACGCGCGGCGCCGAGTCCCGAGCCGCGGTGGCGCAGGCCCTTTCCTTGAGTGCGACCGCCTCAGAAAGCGACGTCAACGCGGCCGTCGACAAGGCACGGTCCTGAACTCTCCGCGCGTAACGTACATGTATTCCGCGGCGGGCGCGAGCCGATCCGCGCGGGGCAACATCTCATTCTAACCCTCGGACGCTAAATTGCAAAATTCCTTTGTGGATTCTTGCACGTTTAGGTGCTATGTGCTGCATGGCATGAGCCGACATGAGCGCGTTGGAGGAACGGAGCACTTCTTGAGCGTCATGAATATCGTTGAACCCCATTGACAATGGCCGACAGGGCTGCACCTGTACATCGGCCGACATGAGCGCGTTGGAGGACACGGAGCGCACCTGCGTCGACCTGAGCTACCGCAGTCTCGTCGCCGTGCCGACGCTGAGCGATGCGGCCTTGCTCGTCGTCCTCGACCTCAAGGGCAACGACCTGGCAGACCTGCCGGACCTGAGCGCGCTGCGCAGCCTCCGGTCGCTGATCGTGTCGCAGAACGCGCTCGCGGAGCTGCCCGCCAGCATCGGGCAGCTCCGGCGGCTCCGGGTCCTCGGCGCGCACGGCAACGACATCCGCCGCCTGCCCGAGTCGGTCTGCGACCTCGGCGAGCTGCGCGTGTTGGGTCTGGGCTTCAACCGAATCACCGAGCTGCCCGACGGCATCTCCCGCCTCGCGTCGCTCCGACAGTTGGAACTCCACAACTCGGAGCTCGCGGCGCTTCCGGCGCTGCCGCCGGCGCTCGCGTGTTTCCAGCTCTCCCGGAATCCGCTCGGCGCCGCGTCGCTGCGGACGCTCTCGCGCCTCGTGGAACTGGTGCTGTCGGGCTGCGGCCTCGCCGAGCTGCCGATCGGCGACGCGCCGACGCTGCAGAAGGTCTGGGCCAACGACAACCACTTCGCGGCGCTGCCGGACGCCGTCGGCCGCCTGCCGCGGCTGAAGACGCTGTGGGTCGCGGGGTGCCGACTGGCATCGCTACCCGAGTTGGACCTCGAATGCCTGGAATCGCTCTGGGTGGCGTCGAACCGCCTCGCCGCGCTGCCCGCGTCGCTCGCGGGCTGCCTGCATCTTCGCGCGCTCTGGGCGTCCGACAACGCGCTGACATCGCTCCCGAAGGAGCTGTCGTACCTCGACGACCTGAGCATCTGGCTCGACGGCAACCCGGGCCTCGCCTGCGACGCGCGGCGCTGGCGGCGCGCGGCCGTCGTCCGCGACGCGCCGACGCCGCCGCGGCCGCCGGCCGACCCCGTCGTCTTCGTCGCGCACACGAACTTGGCGAACTTCGGGCATACGCTCTTGGACGTGGCGCTCCCCATGGAGACGGCGCGCCGGGCCCTCGGCGTCGACGCGGCCTTGACGTTCCAGGACCTCAAATTCCATAACGTGCTCGTCGAGCTCCTCGGCCTAAAGCTCGAGCGCGCGGCGGCCGACGTCTCCCGGGGCTACGCCTTCGTCGACCTCCCGCCGCGGAGCGCCACGGGCCGCTTCCAGCGCCGCGAGGTGGAGGCCCTGCGCGCGACCGTCTTCGGGCGCCTGGGCGGGGCGCCGGAGGCGAGGTACGCGACGTTCGTGCGGCGGAAGCTCGACGGGAAGGCCATCGGGCGGCGCCTGACGAACGAGGCCGCGCTCGTCGAGGCGCTGGAGCGCGCGTGCTCTGCGTGCGCCGCGCCGTTCCGGACCGTAACGCCCGAGGAGCTCTCGCCGCTGGAGCAGGTCCGCGTCTTCGCGTCGTCGCGGGTCGTCGTCGGCCAGCACGGCGCGGGCCTCGCCAACGCGCTCTGGCTTCCCGCCCGCGCGTCGCTCATCGAGATCGGCCCCTTCTGGGACCTCCACGAGAAGCTCGTCGGCGCGCTGGACCGCGTCCGCTACGTGGGCCTCGAGCGGCCGCGCGCGGGCTACACCGCGCGCATCGACGTCGACGTCGTCGCCGCCGGAGCCGCCCTGCGCGCGGCCCTAGTAGCTTAGGTGTCGAGCCAGGCCGCCCGGGGCCAGTCGCGGTGCTCGTCGAGCCACGCGTTCTCCGGCTGGCCGCGCGCGAACGCGTCGCCGAGGCTGTCGCACTCGGGCCGCGCGAGGCCGTGGTCCGCGCAGAACTCCTCGGCCTTGGCGCGCGCGTCGTCCCAGGCGGCGACGGTGACGACGCGGGGGAAGTCGTCGACGGTCACGGGGAAGTGGGCCTCGTCGACGAAGTTGACCATCTCGCGCGTCGTCACGACCCTGGCGGCGTCGGCCTCCATGAGCAGCAAATCCTCGCACTTGGGGCGGAACATGGCCAGCACGCGGTCGCAGATGCGCCTGCGGACCCTCGCCGCGCGGCACCGCTCCTCGAGCGCGAAGTCGAACGCCGCGACGTCGAGCCCCCCCGTCGCGGGGTCGCGCGCGCACTCCGCGACGACTTCGAAGGAGCGCTTCCGCTCGAGCTCCTCGGGCGTGGAGAAGAGGTTCGTGATGGCGTAGGTGCCGCGCCGGTGCGACTCGGATCTCGCGAGCGCGATGTCGACGTCGAGCTCCGCGCGCGACCGCGCGTCGAGCGACCGGCAGCCCTCGCCGCCGCCGAACAAGCCCGCGAGGTGGCCGCCGCGGTGCGCGAGGGCGTGCGCCGGCACGTCGGACCGGTCCGCGTCGCAGGCGAAGTACTTCTTCGCGCCGCCGCCGCCGCCGAGCTCGGCGTTGACGAGCTCGAAGTGGCCGACGCCCGCGTCGATGAGGCGCTGGAGCCGCGCCTTCTCCGTGTAGAAGGACGTGTTGTAGATGGGCGCCTCGATGTAGGCCTCGAGCTTGCGCGCGACGGCGTCGACGCCGCCGAAGGACGACAGGTGCCAGCCCGCGTCGAGGACGGCCTTGCGGCCGAGCGCGGGGCTCCGGTCGCCGCGCGTGGACCGGCGCCAGTCGCTGCCCGTCCGCGCGGCGCCGCCGGCGCCGCCGACGCCGAGCATGGACGCCTCGACGAGCACGGCGCCCTCGCGCGCGACGTGGCCCCACTGCTTCGGCGACCGCCACCTGTGAGGAAATCGACCGCTGGTTTGGGACGTCCCGACCAAACTGGTCCGAAACGGTCGCATACGCGCACATTGAAGTCGGGTGGAAGATTCGAGTCCCGCGCGGACCGCCGCCGGAAGTCGTAGACGTGCCAGTTCATCTCGGACCCGAGGGGCAGGAGCGCGTCGACGCTCCCGAGCTCGGCGTCGAGGAACTCGGCGCAGCGCAGGATCGTCGCGAGGCGCGTCGACCGCCAGATCTCGTCCGCGTCGCTCACGAGCGCCAGGTCGCGCGGCGCGGCGCCCGCGGCTTCGAGCGCCGCGGCCGCGGCGTCGCGCTGCCACTCCTCGCGCAGGATCGCCGCCTCCGTCGCCGACAGGGACGCCTCCAGGTCCGCGCCGAGGCTCAGGTTCGCCACGTGGCCCCGCACGCGCGGCGCGAACTGGCCAAAGTCCGCGGCCTGCGAGAAACCGTCGCGCCACGCGAGCTCCTTGGGGCCGCCGCTGTGCGTCGTCGACCCCTCGACGGGCACGAAGACGTCGACGACGTCGTCGTGCTCCCGCAGCCGCACCTCGAGGACGTCGCGCTCGTTGAAGAAGGGGAAGACGTCGAAGACGCGCCGCGAGTTCAGCGCCGGCGGCGCGTCGCGCGCGAGCGCGGCGCAGCCGTCGACGTCCGTCGCGACGAAGTCGAGGGCCAGCACGCCGAAGAGCGGCGCGCGGGCCGGGTCGCCGGGCGCCGCGACCCAGAACTCGAGCGCGCACGCGAACCAGCCGACGTGGCCGGCCGACTGAAGGTTCGCGCGCATGGAGAACGTGCTCGCGGCCGCGCTGCCCTGGGCGCCCCAGCCGCCCTCGCAGTGCTCGCTCCGGTCGCCGAGGGTCAGCGCGAAGCAGACGACGACGGCCGGCGGCGCGCCGCCCGGGGCGCGCAGGGCCGGCGCGCCGTCGGCGGGGGCGTCGCCGTAGACCGCGGCGATGTGGATCTCGTCGGTGACGACGACGCCGCCGCGCGGCGGCGACTCCACGCGCCAGAACTGCGCCGCCGCGAGCGGCAGGGCCGCGACGAGGAGGCGCAGCATTTCAGGCGTTGGGGGCTGCCGCCATGCTCGCTACCGCGAGTAAATGAAGCGTGTTGGCGTTCAAGTTGAACAAACGGGGATAGCATGTTTTTGGCTGGGCTGCGGCGTCCCTGCTGCCCGTCGATGGTCAACTCTTGGGACGCCTGAGCGCGCACACCTGTCCATGGGATCCGCCGTGAGCACGGCGCAGCAGCCTCTGGCGGAGGTCGACATCAAGAACGAGATTGGTGTGCTCTACGACGTAGAGGCGCAGCAGGCCTTCGACGCGGCCAAGAAGGGCGACGTCGTCGCGTGGCCAAAGGTCCAGGCCTACGCCGAGGCGCACAGCCTCCTCGATCCCAAGGCCGTGCTGTTCAAGAACCTGAGGCAGTTCAAGATCGCCCGCGAGCAGATCGAGACCATCTACGACGAGCACTTCTCGGGCGCGGTCTGCGAAATCACGTGGCGCGGCGCAGACCTCGGCGACGACTCGCGCCAGTGCGCGCTGAACGGCGCGCCCGCGGAGACGCTCGACGAGCTGTACGCGGTCGCGGAGAAGGCCTTGAAAAAATACGCGGAGGTTATGACCGCCGCGTGCCCGAGCGGCGCCGTCCTGATGCTCGCGCCGCTCAAGGGGCTCGCGCGCGCCGAGGCCAAGGCGCGGAACGAGTACGCGAAGAATACGGCGCCGGCGACGTCGTGGCTCTTCGACGTCGTGCGCGGCTCGGTCATGTGCGCGACCGAGGACGAGATCGTGGGGTTGTATGCGGCGCTCGACGCGGACCCGCGCGTCGACATCGTGCGGACCAAGAACCGGTTCAACCCGCCCTGCTTCAACGGCTATCGCGACATTCTCATGAACGTGGCGGTGCGCGTCCAGGGCGACTCGGGCGGGATCGTGCATCTCTGCGAGCTCCAGATCCACCACGCCGCGATCAAGGAGTCGGAGCCCATGCACAAGAGCCACGTGACCTACGAGTTCTTCCGGGAGTTTTTCCTCGGCAACGCGGACGCCGTCGAGCAGCGCCTCAACATGCTCTGCGCGCTGCCCGTCGCCGATGCGGAGAACGTCGAAGACCTCGTGGGCCGCGTGCTCGGCTCCGACCGCGCGTCGGACACGACGCTGCTCTTGGAGTTGGCGGCGCTGCTCGAGTCGATTGCGGAGCACGCGAGCAGGGTGCGCGTCCAGGAGAAGGTTCTGGAGATCAAGGAGCGCGAGTTTGGGCCCGATCACGCGCACGTGGCCGGCGCGCTGACGAACCTCGGGAGCGCGTACGGCTCCCTCGGTGACAACGCCAAGAGGCGCGACCTCCTCGAGCGCGCGCTCGCGATCCGGGAGCGCGAGTACGGCCGCGACCACGTCCAGGTGGCCATCGCGCTGAAGAACCTCGGGAACGCGTACGGCTCCCTCGGCGGCACGGCTAAGAGGAGGCGCGACCTCCTGGAGCGCGCGCTCGCAATCGAGGAGCGCGAATACGGCCGCGACCACATCAAGGTGGCCAGCACGCTGGTTTTTTTAGGGGACACGTACGGCGACCGCGGCGACTACGCCAAGGCGCGCGACGTCCTCGAGCGTGCGCTCGCGATCAACGAGCGCGAGTACGGCCGCGACCACGTCGCGGTGGCCGTTACGCTGACGAACCTCGGGGTCGCGCGCGGCTCCCTCGGCGACAACGGGAAGAAGCGCGACCTCCTCGAGCGCGCGCTTGCGATCTTCGAGCGCGCGCTCGGGCGAGACCACGTGCAGGTGGCCCACACGCTGAACCGCCTCGGGACCGCGCACGGCGACCTCGGCGACGCGGCGAAGAAGCGCGAGCTCGTCGAGCGCGCGCTCGCGATCCAAGAGCGCGAGTACGGCCGGGACCACTTGAAGGTGGCCTACACGCTGATGAACCTCGGGAACGCGTACGGCGACCTCGGCGACGCGGCCAAAGCGCGCGAGCTCCTCGAGCGCGCGCTCGCGATTTTCGAGCGCGAATACGGCCGCGACCATCCGAAAACCGCGTATTGCGCCGCGCGGCTCGAAAAAAACGCGCAGCAGTTACTGTGCTGAAGCTGCGGCTCTAGTGCTACCCGCGCTCGTCTTCTTAGCAGAACCGCGCCGGGTCGAAGTTGCGCAAATCGAGCGTCTTCGCGTCGCCGGTCGCGACGAGGTTCGCGAGCGCTTCGCCCGTCGCGGGACCCAAGAGAATGCCCCAGCAGCCGTGGCCCGTGCCGACGAACGCGCCCCTTCGTCCCGGCACCGCGCCGACGACCGGGACGCCGTCGGGCGCCGTGGGGAGGTGGCAGGCCTGCTTGTGGTTCACGCGCGCGTTTCGGAGGTCCGACGACACGACGTTCATGGCGGCGACGAGCCGGTCCGTGACGTCGGCGCGCACCTCCGTCTCGCCCGGGAGGTCTCGGACGACCGCGGGCGGGTCGGGAAATCCCGTGACGTAGGTCTCGCCGTCGCCCCGCGGGTAGACCTCCGGGTCGCCGAGCCCCTGAAAAAAGACGGCCTGATTGAGCACGCGCGGGCTCTGGAGGAGCACCGCGTGGTACTTGGTCCCGACGACGGGCGGCAGCCCCGCGAGGCCCCAGCCCGTCTCGTCCTCGGCGCCGCGGAGGCCGAGCGGCTCCGTCGCCGGGCGCCCCAGCGCGTGGCTCCAGGGCCCCAGGCAGAGCACGACGGCGTCGGCCTCGAGCGTCGACCCGTCCTGCAGCTGGAGGCCGACGACGGACCCGCCCGCGTCGAGCGCGAGGCCCGCGGCGACGCCGTCGACGACCGCCGCGCCCGCGAGCTCCCGGGCGCCCGCGACGAGCGCCTCGCAGAGCTTGCGCGGGTGCACCTGCGCGATCGTCGACTCGTCGCCCATGGGCCGCGCGCCGAGCACGCCGCCGTCGGCCCACTCCACGTGCTCGAGCTTGGCGTTCGACGGCGGGCGAAGCGCGTCGCCTTCGCGCGCCGCGACGGCCGCGCACGTGAGGCGCCGGTAGTCCGTCGGGCCCCAAGGAGCGAGCTCGTCGCCGAGGCGCGCGTGCAGGTCGAAGGACCGCCGCGTGAGCCGCTCCGTCGCGGAGCCGTCGTTCCAGTCCCTCGCGAGGAAGCCGCCCGCGCGGCCCGACGCGGCCGCGGCGACGCCCTTGCGGTCGACGATGGTGCAGCCGATGCCGTGCTCCTTGGCCAGGAAGTAGGCCGTGCTGCAGCCGATGACGCCGCCACCAGCGATCACGACCTTTGGCTTCGGCGCCGCCAGCGCCGCCATCGCCGGCAGGCCCGCGACCAGGAGCAGCAGCCAACACCCAGGAATCGCGCCCAGATTTACGCCGCGGAGCGGCATCTCTGCGGCACCATCTGCGCTCGGGATTCGTTGACGCCCTCGTGCCGCTTTGTGGAAAGACAAGAGTTTGGGCAGCCCTCGGTCGACTCCGCCATGGCGGCGCGCCTCGCCGCGCTGGTCGGCGCCGTCGCGCTGCCCGCCGCCGTCCCCTCGTCGAGCTACTACGCCGTGCAGGACTCCATGATGCAGGTCAAGGTCTCCATCGTCGGGGTCATGGAGTCGCCCTGGCCCGCGGTGCGGATGATCGCGGCGTCCATCGAGACGGGGATGAGCACGAGCGAGTCGTCGCTGGCGCACGTCACCTACGTCAGCCTGGCGGGCATGCGGGACGCCACTAGCTTCTACATGATCTACGTCGGCCTCGAGGCCGACGGCACGTTCCTCGGGTACTACAACGACGGCTTCGGGCCGACGGGGAACGTGTCCTACACCTACGTGGACGGCGGCGCGTGCGCGTGGAACTACACGAAGGCCTGCGGCGAGAATTTCCCCTGCGACGCCGCGGCGGACACGTGGCTCGCGACGACGCCGCCCTGCCGCGAGTTCTACGTCATCGACCAAGTCTCCGGCACGCCCGCGTGCGCGAACATCACGCACGGCGCCTGCGGCGGCTTCATCGACATGCGCGGCTGCGAGAACGCGAGCCTCAAGTCCGCGACCTACGACCCCCGCATGCGGCCCTGGTACGTTTCGGCCAAGGCCTCGGACGCCGACGCGCTCTGGAGCGACATCTACTCCTTCGCGACGGGCGAGGAGATGGGCATCACGGCGACGCAGAAGGTGTATTGGGCGGCGAGTTCTACGGCGTCGTCGCGGCGGACTTCGTGCTGACGCAG